CGGGGGCAGGCGAGCAGCCCCGGGTCGTTGGAGCCCCCCAAATCTTCCTCCCCGCGGCAAGGGCGGGGGAGAGGATCCCTGATGCCGAAGGAGCGGGGAGCGCAGCGAAAGCCTTAACTTTCTTGCGCTCGGAGCGCCTTCCTTCCCCCCTTTCGCTCGCTGCGCAGGATTTCTCAGTGCCTTGCCCTGTCGGGGTGTGTGTGTGTGTGTGTGATTTTCTACCGGGGGCTCGGTGTTTGTCATCCCGAGAACCAAGTCGCTCTCTGCAGCTGACAGCCCTTGACTTCCCCTTCTGCGCTTCCTTCGTCTGAAAAGAGGGAGGGAAAATAATGTTGGATCACTGAAAGATCGGCCGTCTCTCCTTTATATTCGGGCTCCCGGGGGGGGCCCCGCGCCCAAAGCTGATAACCCCGATCCAGAATGCTTCAGAAGTTGCAAAGTGCAAGAAAAGTCCTTGGCAGTAAACCCTGAACTGAGTTGGCTGGATTTTTAAATACACCATAAGCTTTAGAGCTGGAGAAAGTCTGGGGAAAAAAAGTTGGAAAAAACCCTCGACTAATCTCGATGAGTTGCAGGGTATTATCAGCTCCCGGTGAAAAATGTCTAAAGCGTTTTAGACTGTTTTGAATGTGTCTGTTAAACCTTCCAGTCTTGCTTTGATCAAAAGCGCACTTGTGCCAAGGTCTTTGATTCTTGCTGGACATAAAGCTTCAAAGAGGCCACAAAAATAAACCTTCATTCTTGGAAAACCATTTCACTCCAAGGCCTTTAGGGGGTGGAAGAAGCTGGTGAGCCACCAGGCTGAATGAGACACCTTGATCTGGTCATCCAGCAAAAACAAACAGTGTGTCTTGTTTCTGTTATGTGACAAGGCTCAGAGCCAATAATGTAATATTATAGGACACCTGGGATGTGCACTAATATTTTTTTGTTTCAAACAGGAGTCAGGATCTTGCACTTTCTAATCCATTACCTGACTGGCCCCTGGTTTTGAAATCAGAAATATTAAATTTATTTGCTCAGTTGGAAAATAATGAAGATCTCTGGTGGACTTCCTTCCACTGGAGATGTTAAAAGTAAACCCCGAATGCTAGCCAACCCGCCCATTCGCCCATATTCCTCCAGATTCCTAAAGAATGGAGTAACTCCATTGCTGTTCCAGTTTACAAAAAGGCAATGAGACCAACCCAGCTAATTATTGTCTAATCAGCCTGCTGTGTATAATCAGCAAAATTATATCGTTATCACAAGCTCGCTGATTGGATGAAACAAGAAAAAGGCTTAGCCGTGGAACAAGCTCTGCTGCCTTTAGTGGAAGATGGCATTTGATTCAATTCAATCCCTTGAGAGAGATTATGGCATAAATTGGCAGCCTCTTCAGTTGTTGTCTTCTCCAGTAATGATGCTGCATGAAACACAATTTGGGCTAGGTGTAAGAACAGTGGAGAATTATATTTTAATATATATCATACCTATATATAGGTACGCAGACTAGGTTAAAACTTCAGTCTCTGGTCCAGGGTCTGATTTGCACATTATTTTGTAGATAAACTTGCTGAAATTTGTACATGGTATGTGACTAGAGAGAAGATAATGTAGAGAGGGATAACTTTATTTTTTAATAACTGATCAGTGCAAAAAGAGAAAATGAAAACAACACTCATCGAGGAAAAGAATTGACAATATTTCTAAGCTAGAATGAACCACAGGCTTATGTATTTATAAGTTGAACAGGTCTAGTACAAAATGTTGCCACTTTTTCTGCACTGGCATAATAGTTATTGGTCCTTCCCAGAATCTTAATGAAAAGAGTATGGTAACTTGAGACCATGAGTCTCTAGAGTAATCAGAGAACAGCAAGGTATGAGTAAGAGGTTCTTCCTCTTTAGCATTACGTAGGCAGATCTCAGCCTAGTAGGGCTTGATGGAAAGGTGCTTGTATCAGTGTTTTTCTATGGTTTATGGTAGTAAAGCAGTGGAATTTTGATCTAAATGATGGCACCTGTTTATATTTGGTTTGCTTTATTAAGCTGTGACGATAGTCATGTTTCAGCAAGTAGCAACATCTAACTCAGTGTTTCTGAAACTTGGCAACCTGAAGATGTGTGGACACACATCTTCAGGTTGCCAAGTTTCAGAAACACTGAGCTAGCTGATCTTATCTGGCTTTGAAAGCTAAGCTGGGTCAAACCTAGTTAGGACTTGAAGGGGAGACTACCAGAAAATCCCACAACGGAAGGCTGGGCTTGAAAGTCAAACACGATCAGAAAAAGACAGTAGCCAACTACTTCTGGATTGTTTCCCGGAAAACTAGATGGATGTAAATTCTAGTATACAATCCTAGATAGGTATTACCTTGAGGTAGAAGAAAGATGGGATGTAAATCTCAAATTCCACTTCTGGGAGAAAGTCTAGAAGAAGGCAATTGTAAACCACTTCCGTATGGCTAACAATAACCATATAGACGTTTTGGGAATGTGTATTCACCAGGAGATGAGCTTGACTCAAGAGAGACTTTTTAAGGGTGAATTCATATACTTGTTCAGAAAGTTTCTCTAATTTTGTTCCAGCACTTGATGCCTTCCTACAAAGGTAATACTGGATGGAGTATTAAGTCTAGGATGGAGGATAGATTCAAATCCTCAGCCCAGTTAAGACAAGGAAAGCTTTTTCAAAAAATGGATATGTTTAAAAAAATATCCCCATAAATGAATGTTATAAAACCTGTTCCAGACTTGCTTAGAGTTTGCTACCTACTACTGGGAGAAATATTGCTGGCCATTTTTCTACATGTGGCAGCTCCTACACGTGGCAGCACCATGTGTTAAGATACTCTATTTACATTTAATAGATCTTCATCTACTAAAAGCATACTTAACCAATGACATTCTGGAGAAAATCTGTGTAGTTGCTAAGAGTCAACACCGACTTGATGGCATACAATCAATCAATGACAACACTGAATTGGCATAAATTAATCATTTTCTTCTATTAATGAAAAAGGTATGTTATTAAGCATTATTAACTTTATTCATTTCTAAATGTTTGCATGGTTCACACATGGCACTAGGCCAAAAGTGATTTGTTTTTTATTGCTCTGTTGCTTGATGGCAGCCATTGTGATTTGTGGAACAACACATAAATTGTGTTGGGAATGCAGCCAATTCTTTATTCAATAATCCACAATTAAACAAACAATGGCTTATGCAGAAATGCAAAACATAAAGCTCCAGGTGGCATACAGTCCACTGAAACTTGGAACTGGCTTCCAGAAATGGATGAATTGTAATTTTTAATAGGAAGCAAGAAGAAAAGTATTACATTTATATGGGAGTAATGTTAATGGTATTTAATTGATGTTTTCAGTTGAATTTTACCTGCATATATAAATATCCATCATGCTGTTCTCTTTGGGGGAAATTAGGGCTGTTCAGAGTCTAGAAAAGGAGAAAAAAATGATAGGTAGGAGATGAAAAAGAAATTTAGCTAAATTTAGTTTACACCAGCACTGTTCACTATATCTCTCTATACCTATGTATCTTTGTAAACCATTCTTGTTTCCTCCATGCCCACGTATTGATTCATACATTGTCCTTTGTTCTTTACACTTCTCACCTCTCCCTTTGAAGGCTGGCGGAAATCATGTAAGGAGAATGGTCATTTCTAGGGACATCTCTTGAGTTTGCTCTAGACCAGGGTTTCTCAACCTTGGCAACTTTAAGATGTGTGGACTTCAACTCCCAGAATTCCCAGCCAGCATAGGCTGTTCAGGACTGAGCTCTGTCACTTTACTATATGTCGTGCAGTACTCTTTATTTAGATTTTTAATAAATAATATATTTTTTACTAAGTTAAAAGAACACGAAACAATATAGGAAAAAAAGTGAGAAAAATATAAAGAAGGTTTCTCAACCTTGGCAACTTTAAGATGTGTGGACTTCAACTCCCAGAATTCCCAGCCAGCATAGGCTGTTCAGGACTGAGCTCTGTCACTTTACTATCTGTCGTGCACTACTCTTTATGTACATTTTTAACAAAAAATATTTTTTTTACAAAGTTAAAAGAACACGAAACAATATAGGAAAAAAAGTGAGAAAAATATAAAGAAAAAAGATGTTGAGAACAATAGAAAGAACAAAGAAAGAAAAAGAAAAGAAAAAATACTTAAAGAAGTGACTTCCAATCTTCTTTACAGTAGTTATGATAAACTTAATAGCATTTCCCCCCTTATAAATTACATAACATGGTTCCCTCCTCCCCGTATTCAACCCTTACTAAATCCAGAAATCACCAGTTCATTTGTATCCATTTTCAGCAAAAAGTCCATAAAGGGTTTCCAGTCTTTTATAAAGGTAGTTGTTCCCTCCTTAATCAAACAAGTCAATTTGGCCATTTCAGCAAATTCTACCATCTTCACAATCCATTCCTCCACTGTGGGTATTTCTGTATTTTTCTATCTTTGTGTATATAATAACCTCGCTGCAGTTACCCTATATAAAACCAATCATCCACAAGTCTTTTCTAATTGACTATCCATAAGTCCTGGAAAGAAAAAAATCTGGCTTCATCTGACTGTTAATTTTTCCTGTGTTGTACACTACACTTTAATTAGAATTGGAGGCTTATTTACTCTCTGAATCCAGAGTGGGTAGCATTTTCAGTTTGCAGAACCTAGAGTTTGCAACCAAGGTGGATAGGTTGTGAATTCCACTTTCCACAAATTCCAGATGGTACCTATTCTGGGTTTAGACTCAGACATTGCAGAGAGAATACATGGTGGAATAAGACTGAGACACAGTTCTTGTTAATGTTTTCACATAGGATGCCATGTAGATAGAGACAATGATCAGTTCTGTGGAAAACAGTAAAAACTCCCTCATGTCAAGCTTGACTCCTGGTGACTACATGGACACAACCATGTTAGGGTTTTCTGGCAGCAATATGAAAATATTTGCCATTGCCTCATCTTTAAACTTTTTAATCTAGCCTACAGCTTTGAGTACTAACCAGATCCAACCCTACATAGCTTTTTTTAGGTTAGCTAGAGTTGGCTAGGTGCTACCATCTGCCCTGATACTAAAGAAGCTTGTCACTATTTGTGATGGTAGGATTCTTGTTTTTATTTATTTGGTATCAAGATGGCCTACAGGTCAGTAATCTTTGGCATGATTTATTCCTTTTCCTCGGTTGAGCAAATTAATTACATTAGTAGTCCTGTCTTCTTCAGCTGAGATGCTATTTTCTATTTACAGATAATCTTCAGGTAGAAGGAAATCAGGGTGTTGTTTCTGCGGTCTCAAGCATCACATCTCCTATAACCTCTTCAACAAATACATATACGGTGGAGTTTCCTAGAAAGCGAAAAGGGAGTGAGTCTGATAATCAGTAAGTGAGAACATTTACTTTTTTGTAAACAACACCCTTAGTAGATTTTTCTATTGAAATGTGCATGTTATTCCACACCCAACGTGTTTAATTTGGAATGTCAGTGGCTTTCACGTGATGGATATCAATTGTCCTTGAAGCAGCATGATGTTTGAACGCACATAGAGCTGATCTTGTTATTTCTCTGTTAAACGCAAGAACAAGACAGTTGGCATCGTGTAGCACCAGTTTCATCTTGCTCTTTTCTTAGCCCCACTCTCAGCTTTATGCTTGCTTTCATGATATCATGTATTCACAGAATAAAATATGCTTTGCATTATTTTTACACATCTGCTCCTTGCACACAGCTTGTAAGAACATAAGCCTTTCCAGATCGTCCCATTTTCTGCTTAGTCATATATTCCAAAATCACGTTTTTATCACTTCCTTTATTGTTTTACTTCTTCTCTTCCTCTCTCCATTCTGTTCATTGTCGTAATTTTAATGATGCAGCAGTGCTGGAAACAGTAAAACCCCCAGATGCTTTCAATCAGGGGAAATCCTTTTTTCAGCTCTGGGAGAAATATGATTATTTTTTTCTCAGAACCTAAAAAATTTAATTATTAATGCCAGGAGTATGTTTCCAAATTATTATTAATATTTATTACCATGAGCTAGGTTTTTTTTGTATAGAATCAGTTTATTTCTTAACCACGATCTCATATCTGGGCTCCTGAAAATATCTATCTACATGAAATCCTGCATGCCTCTTTTTGGTAGCAGTATCTCCAGGACAAAAATTTGGATAAATCATGCTACTGGATTTCCATGATTGTTGTGTTCCACTTTCTGAATGTGACTTTTATTTAAAAGTGGGCATCTTCCAGGCATTTTTGAAGACTTCTCCATTTTGAGATGGGTTTTTAAATCTGGGGTGTTAAGTGTACTTGGATACTATCAGAGTAAGAATTCATAGCAAGTGACACCTTCAAAATAAAGGGAAGATTAGAAACAACGAGAAACCAAATAAGGTAATGATTAGACATATATAATGTATTAAAATGTAGAATTTTACTCTAGTATGGGGATCTAAGTATGGTAGTATTAGTTTCTGCTTCAATTAAATTATAACATTTCTCTAACCTGCAAGGTTGGAGGGGGAAGAGTATTTACTTTTTATCTTCTCTAAAAGCATTAAAGTGAGCGTTAGGGACTGCTGAGATCCGGATCCAGATGGCTTCAGTGTGGGACATAATGTGGTTAGCAACATGGAGTATAGTTCTTGATATTTTTATTTTTCAAAACAATTTCACATAACTTCATAATAATTTAAAAAAAACTCCCAAAAGAGTAGAAAATCTTGGAATAGCATCGCATCATGCCACCATCTATTAATAGACTCAATAATTATTGCTTGAAATAGCAAGATAGGAAGTTCTGTTTTTTTTTTTTAAATAAGTTTATTCCTAAATCTCTGCTGTTCAATAAATTCGGTATGATTTATTTTCAATTATACCAATTTTTTTGTTCTTTTGATGTCTTCTGATTAGTTTCAATACTCTTTCTTCAGATATGCCTGTGACACTGAGGCTGATGATCTCCAGAGCAGGTATAAGGCTTTATCAAAAATAAAAAAGATAGATACTATGTCTAGAAGGGGGGAATGAAATGTATCTGCTTGGCTGTGTTTATGCACATGTGAGACATTGAGTAAAATCAGTTAGATGAGCTGTAAATGCCTGGAACTTTCCAAATTGTTGGAATTGTTAGGTAAAACATCCCTTCATAGTTGGATCACAAATGACTATCCTTGTTTGGGTAGTAAAAGTATTCAGAATAGTTAGGTGTAGTTGAGTTGGGCCTGACTCTTTCATGACCTAGCTCTTTAAGGGCTTCCCAGTTTGGCTAATAAAAGTATTCAGAACATTAGAACTAATTGGTGTGTGCTCAAACAAACCGAGTTCAAAACAGCTTTAAATTTATTTGATTCAGACAAACACAAGTGAAACAGTGGTTATTCAATTGGGAAGTAATGATAACTTACTAAGTAAAATATGGAAGTGAAAAGTTCCACATTGCTCTTTACAACCAGCTAGATTTCTTTTTATGGTTACATTTGAAAAAGGCTATCTAAAAGGATTGTAGTCATAGTTTAACTTTATAAATGGGAAACTTCGATATGTTGTAGAGATTTATCTGTATACCAAGATTCAGGTTATTCTCAAAACCTAGCTAAAATTAAAGTATTTTTCATCCATGATGCTTCTGTTAATAATTTCCCCATTTTAATGATTATTCACAATAATTGTGAATAATAGTATTTCATTCAGAAAAATAAAAAGAAACTTTTTCTATAATTGTGGAGGAATAACTGAGGTAGTTCTTTTTTCCCTTTATAGGCCTTACTATAGCTTCTTTTTAAAAATTATCCTATTTTCAGGGAACTGGATAGATTATTTCAAATATTTAAAGACTCCTGCATTGAGGAAGGATTTTGTAATAAGCAGTATAATATTTTAGAATCTTTCTCCATGATTATCCATTTGCATTGCATTTAATTTTAATACTTCTTTTTCCTAGGAGTGAAGACGAAGAACATGTAAAAATTAAATATTTCAGGTACTGTAAATTAGAAAATACGGGGGGGGGGGGGTTGCAATGGAAGTATACTTAAAATTAATGTTGGGTATTGTGGATATAAACTTAAGATATGTCTGCATATCTTCTTGCAAAATATGTTTAATGGCGTAGGTCATGACCCAACACATGTAATTCCTCTTTATTTTTATTGTAGGGTCCTATTAAAATTGGATTTCAAAATATTTGGCAAGAGATGATGGTCTTTACAGGATTTGGTTTGGAATCCTGATTTGATGATTCAGAAAAATAACTCAATTCAATTTGGGCCAAACTCAACTCCACTGTCTCTTACTGGCTCTCATTGAAAATCAATCAATGGATAACTACAGTGTTTTTCTTTTAGGCCAACTTGGGTGAAATTTCTAAGAGTGCTAATCCTTAGGGAAAAATGAAGCCTGTACAATTTCAGACAAATAAGCACAGCTTATTTGTTGTGCTATGTGTCATTAAATGTTGACTTTTAGAAATAGGAACTGGTGCTTCATTTTTTTTTTTTTTGGACTCTGTAAAGATTGTGTAATTTGCAGGGCAGTTGTTTCTTCTAGGGAATAAAGTACCTGCTTCATTTTGATTTTTTAATGGAAGAGGCATGATTGATTGAAGAGCTATGAAACATCATTATATGTGGTTACATGTTGGTAGTTGCACAATCCCCTTTCTCTCCTTTCTACGTCTCATTTTATTTTAGACAGAGTTTGGAGAGAAGTGGATCAGTTTTTGCAAGTTCAATCTCTGCAATGGGCTGTGAGAATCACTTTGGGAGACAGGAGGAAGAGCTGAAATATAAATAAATAAAATAAAATAAAATTGTCATAATAAAATACCTTTTTTGCTCATGGATACATTTGAAATGTTTGAGACAGTATGGGATATGGCTTCCCTAATTTATATTCTCTTCCTAGCACTCTTCCTTACATGCACATAAAAACAGAATGTGTATTCCAACAGCCATTTCCATGGGTCGTACATCAAAACTACTTTCTGTTGAATTTGCATGATTTGTGTATAGTTCCTCCCCCCCCCCCAAATACTGCTAGAGTTTACATTGAACTCTATATGAGTGAGCAAAGAAACATTGGATAAAAAACGTGAATCCAAAGCACGGTCTTTGCTCAACTTTATAATTTTTACATGAGATGTCAAACCCCATACTGTTTTCCATACTGCTGGAGTTCTGCTGTCAATAAACAGCCAGAGGTCGAAAGCCAGAAGATCATACCGGCAGAATAAAGCGGGGGGGGGGGGGCCAAGATAAAAAAGGGAAAATAGGAAAAGAGGAAAATCAGGATTGTAAACATAGAACCATGTTACAGAACGATACTCTGATTTTCTTGCAAAGAAACCTGAATGGATGACTGTTGAATTCCAACGATCTAATTAAGTCCTTTTATGATCGGTCCTTGT